CCTTTGCTATGTGAGAGATAGAGTCTCGAGAGAGAGAGAGAGTTACCTGAGTGACATGCGTGCGTAATGGACAATTGGATTTTCATGACGAGAGAGACGAGGGGAAGCCGGATGGTGGACTTGCTCGGGTGGCAATGGACTTGGACCCCGACACGATGGGGTAGACCTAATGGGATAGATCTGACCAAGATTCAACTATACGTCCAACAATTGAACTGGGCGGGGTCTAACAATTGGACTAGGTCTAGGTCTAGGTCTAGGTGTTGGTTTGTTGGTTTTGGGTCCCACATTAGTACTAATTTACTGAAGGGTAGTTTAGAGATTTTTTCAAAAATCATGAAATTTATTAAACATGATGAAAAATCTATTATGCGCTCTACATGTAATCGGGGGAAATCTTTCTATCGCATCTATTGGTGATTTTTGCTAGCCAAACATCCCATGATTCATCTCCTAATAACCCATACGCAAAAAACTATTCCCCTCTTAATAACCCACAACCAAAAAATAGAGTAATTCAACTAGCCGCTAAAACGAGGTATCCCCATCGTTTTTGCAAACTGAATCGCACATATATTTAAACCTCAAAAATAACATAGCACTCCTACTATTTCAACTTGCAGCAAAAAACCAGCATCTCAGCAGCTAAAACCTAACACCCTCATAGCAGCCAAAACCCGGTCCCATAGTAGCCAAAACCCTACAGTCATATAGTTATTGTTTGTTTCCAGATATCCAATATTTATTTTTTGGGTTCTACAACCACAGTTGTAGCTATTATTACAAAAAAAAATGAATTTGGGTTATCTTCTAAGATTAGTATGTTTATTTTTTGTTTTTTTTGCTGCTATCGTTTGCTGATAAATTCGAAATACTTGAATTCACTCACAGAGAATCGTCAAATCAGTGTACTTGAAATTTTTTTTTTAAAAAATATTAATTTACGTCTACAATCTCGTCTAATGCTCCAACCTAATTTATCCTCCAATACATCATTTAGTCATAAAGCCTTCTAGGTTAATAGCCAAATTTCTCCAAACTTTTTTTTTCTTTTGAATTTCCCATGGAAGTTTTTTGGAGACAGATGAGAGATGATCGAAAGGCTTTAGCACAAAAAAAAAAAACATGAAAAAATATAATGGGGGACCCTGACTCATATCGGTAATGCATTTTTCATATTTCTTTTGGACATAGCCAAACAGTAACAATGTATTTCCCAGGTTACATCTAAATACTACCCAAACAACGACAATCTATTTGTAGAGTAATATGTATTTCCCAGGTGTTGAGGATTGACGTTTTGTATTATGAGAAAATAGATCTTTCAAGGTATAGTCGAAATGATAACTTTGGAGGACCGTTAAAAGCCTTGAGGGTGGGATGAGTATCCGCCGTATGTAGACTCGGTTGACTTGGCCCTTGCGGGGGTTCGGGGGCGGTAGCCCCCAAGAAAAAATTTGGATATCCGTATATGGGGATTCGATATATCTGGCATTCGATATATATCTGTACTTGGGGTACTTCGATAATTTGTGTCATCTATCTGGGACTCGATATATATTGTTGCGACTCGATATTCATGGTTGCGATTCAATATATATTGTTGCGATGGGCATTCATTTAGGGTTAAGGGTTGCATTGTGGTTGGTTGTCTGTTTGTTTCTTATTTTTTGTTTTCGTGAATTGCTTTTTGTTTCTATATCAGGTTGCATCTAAATACTACCCAAACAGTGACGATCCATTTGCAAGTAATGTATTACACAGTAATATATTTCACAGACAATATATTTCCAGGTGACCCGATCCATTTGCAGGTAATGTATTACACAGTAATATATTTCACAGGCAATATATTTCCAGGTGACAATCCATTTGTATTACGCCACTAATATATTAAACAGTGACAATCCATTTGTATACAATGAGACCATTTACCTTTGATACAAAGATGTCAATATATATTGTTGCGATGGTGGGGTTAAGGGTTTGTGGTTGGTTGCCTGTTTGTTTTTTCTTTTTTATTTTCGTATATTGCTTTTTGTTTCTATGCTAGGTTGTATCTAAATACTACCCAAACAGTGACAATCCATTCGCAGGTAATGTATTATACAGTAATATATTACACCAGTAATATATTTCCAGGTGACAATCTATTTGTATTACGCCACTAATATATTAAACAGTGACAATCCATTTGTATACAATGAGACTATTTACTTTTGATACAAAGATGTTACCATTATTTATAACCATTTGGATGTGAAATCTGATACAATGTTCAAAAAAAGTTTTTTTTGAACTTTGAGATTGGTCAATGAAATCAATGCAGCCATCGAACTTTACATCCAATGATCATCATTAATTGTGACCGCCTTATACTAAAGGTAAATGGTCTCATTATATTTTTATTTATTAAATATTTTAGTTTATAAGTTGGGTCCAAATATAGGTCAAGGTCCCACATTATATTTTTTAAGTTGGGGTTCAGGTCCGATCGGGTTCGGATCTAGGTCTTGGACCCTTGAGACTCATTGCCACCCCGATTTGCTTATGCAATTTGGTATTGGGTTGTTAAAATCCAACATAAGAGGTTTCTTTAACCTACCATCCCTCTTAATAGACGGAGAGAGGGGGAGAGAGACTTCTTATTGTTATGTGTGCGTGCTAGAGAGGGAGAGTTTTTTAGGAAAAATTACAAATAGCTTTTAAGACTTTCTATGCAAGTTATTCCAACTAAATTTTTTTTTCTCTTTTTTTTTTCCAAAATACATTTTTCTAACAAATACCTTTCAAGAAAAAAAAATATTATTTTAAAATAAAAATAACCTTTTTCATACATAAAAATTTAATTTTGGCCGGACATTCACTTGGGCCTACATGGGCAGTTGGACTGATATTTGGCATTGTCAGATCCCGTTAAACTAAAAAAGTGTCGAACCGCTATTTGACATTGCCGGACCACTCTTTGGGCCTATTGCTGGACCGTATGGGCTTGTTGTTGGAATGCATAGGCCTAATGCATGAACGTTCCTGTCAGTGCTGGACTGCCGCCTATACTGCTAGATCACCACATGTATGCAGGGCTGCCATTGTTATTTACTAGACCGACATTACACTGATGGGCCGCTCTAAGAATTCGTCGGACCGCCTGTTCGTGGAAAAGAGGAGAGAGAAATGTGGGTAAAAAATAAAGGACGGTAGTTTAGACTTTTTTTATTTTTATGTAGTTGGGGCTATTTGCTAAGAAAGTATTGTTGACGTAAAACGTGAAAAACAAAGTTTGGTTGGAGTAACTTGCTTAGAAAGTTGGCTATTTATAATTTCCCCAAATTTTTTAATGGGATGGGGGAGAGATTTCCTTGTTATTTCCATTTATGGGGTGGAGAGAGACATCTTTGTTTTTTTCCTGGGTGCGGCGGCAGCCAGGAGGATCATTTACAAAAGGGTGCTGTTTGTATAGAGCTGAGGTTCTAAACAATCAAAGTAAAGCCATCTTCAAATAGTGTCGAGAAATGTGGTTTCCGTATTAAGAATTTTTGTGATAGCCTTAAAATATATTTTCATTTTTAATTATATCTTAAAAATTGATGGTCCAAAAATGTGTTAGACGATGCACTATTTCCAAAACTTGAAATCCATTTTTTTCTCATGTCCATGCATCTTGTTGAGATGATCAATTCGAGGATATTTGAGCATCAAAACAACATTTTCTAACGAAATTTTTGAAGTGGGCTCTAATTTGATTGTTTAGAGCCTTAGCTCTATATAAACTTTTTCCTTTAGAAAAGGATGCAGTTCAGTGTAAATTCTCACCTCAAGTACTCATTCAAAAAGTGCTGTGGCATCCAACGTGGCTCTAAAATCAATTTCACTGTGAAATTTAAAATGTTAAAAATAGGACAGATCCAATATTTGTAAACATTTTTTTAGGACAAAATGAATAGTTTAGATAATGGTGTGGTTTCTATAAGGTTGCAACTATAAACAAATCAATTAAGCCGCACCTACAAATTTCATTATAACATGTAATTTTAGTATAAAAAATTCTTAAGATTATCTGAAAATCTATTTTTATATCTCATTATACAATGTTAAACTCCAAAACTGGTTAAAATCAACTAGATTTATAAACATACGACAATCTTAAAAATGGACGGTCTAGACAAGATGCATTATTTCTGAGACATAAAATCTTTCTTTTTTTTCATATTGATCCATCTCAATGTTGAAATGATCAATAGGGTTTTTCAATATAAAACAACTTTTTCGGATGGATTTTCGAGGTGCACTTTTATTTTTATATTTTAAGATTGCAACCTTATATAAACATTTTTCTTATTATAATATATAATATCTTTAAGATATTGAAATAGGAAAAGTTTGTCACAAACACAATGGTCAAGGCTGCGATAATCCATTTGAAAGTTTTCTTATGCTACAACAACTATTTCCGGTGAGTTTTGAGGTGAGACTGTACTTATTTTTAGCGGACAGCAGTCCGGTAAAAAATACATTTTCTGGTGAGTTTGGAGGTGAGGTTTACTTATTTTTAGTGGTCTGCAGTCCTGTCCAGATATTTTCCTTTGAAAGGAATTGTTTAGGTGAGTTTGTTTGACTACTTTAGTAAGAGAAATCCGACTCATACTTCTTTTACAGCAAAAAAACAAATCTATACAAAATTTCAAATAAGGGAGGGAGAAATGCGGAGACCAGAGGCAGGTTCTTCCTCAGCTTCTGTAACAGTAACGTTCCTTACTAAGCTTACTTCATATGTGCCAAATTTTCACAGAGACGTGCAAAAGAACACTAATAAAGCAAATTTATTCAGCATAATTTCCTCACCAAACGGATTGTTTCTCCAAATCAAAATTGGTTCAAGATTGGCAACTGGGTTCTGTTTTGACCAGCGGTTAATGGCTTTTTTATGGTGGGAAAGCCCAGCAGTGAGTTTAAATACAAGAGTTGGGCTTGAAGTTTGGCATGGTTTTGTCCATGGGGGAGGTCCATGCTTTGAACCCAGAGGTGGGTTTTGAGGGGCCATGTATGGGATTGAAGAGTTTGAGGCGTAAGATCCTTGAGGAATCAAAGGTGACTTGGTATATTGCAGGCCCTGCAATTTTAGCATCGGTTTTTCAGTTCTCGATCGGTTTTGTAACAGTGGTCTTTGTGGGGAGATTGGGCAGCACAGAGCTGGCTGCTGTTTCAATTGTTCAGAATGTGATTGAAGATTTTGCATTTGGGGTCTTGGTAAATCTTAACAACCTTCAGATTTTCATGTTCTTTTGATGCGTTTTTATGCGTTGAGTTTTGCTTTCTTCTTCTTTTTTTTTCCTTTTTTTTATGGTTTTGTTGAAACAAAAGGAGAAATGTAACACTCACTGTTCAAGGACTTCACTTTTCAAAACATAACACTAGACCAACATAACAAATTCATTGTTTGGGGGGCTTTTTCTTGGAAACAACATGATATGGCAAACCACACTCCGGACAGTAGTCACACCATGAAATCTTGCTCTCTCTCTTTTTTTTTTTTAATCATTATATTGCACTTAGAAACATTGTCAGCTTAGTCATATGAAAGATTGCAGTTCTCTCTACATTATTCTTAAAAAAATTGTTGCTAAGATACATGCAAGATTTGTGGCCCTTTCATTCTCCATTAACATACTCCTTTCCCATGCAGCTAGGGATGGGAAGTGCACTTGAGACACTGTGTGGCCAGGCAGTGGGAGCAGGGCAATTCAATATGCTAGGAATATATATGCAGAGATCATGGATTATAACATGCGTAACTGCCATGGTCTTATCACCGTTTTACATTTTCTCTTCCCCAGTTTTGAAGCTATTTCACCAGTCTGATGATATATCAGAAATGGCCGGAAAGTATTCGGTATTGGTTATCCCCCAACTTTTTGCCTATGCAATAAACTTTCCATTACAGAAGTTCCTCCAGTCTCAGAGCAAAGTCATGGTAATGACAGCGATATCTGGTGTATCTCTCATGGTGCATATATTATTGAGTTGGGTTTTTGTGACCAAATTAAATTACGGGTTGGCCGGAGCAGCAGCAGCTGGAAATATTTCCTGGTGGATTATAAACTTGGCTCAAATTATCTATGTTGTATCTGGATTTTTCCCTGAAGCCTGGACTGGCCTTTCTTGGTTGGCTTTCCATTCTCTGGCTGCTTTTGTAAAGCTCTCCCTTGCATCAGCCATAATGCTATGGTTAGTACCTTATTCAAAATCATGAATTTATTTGGCTAGGCTATTACAAAACCAAAACCATTGTTTCTTAATTTAATGAGAACTTTTATTTGTTACTTATAGAATCTTTGGTGACAGCTTGGAGCTATGGTATTATACTGCAGTTATACTTTTAGTTGGGGGCTTACACAATGCCGAAATTGAAGTTGACTCGATCTCCATATGGTAAGATATTGTTCCTCTACATTTCTCATCTTTCTCAAATGAGTTTAACCAAAGATGATGGGAATCATTTTAGATTAATATAGTGAACCAACCTGGGAAATTTGATCAAACGAACCATCTGGGAACACGAAGTACATGATTTTCTTCATGAAATTGCTAATCTACCTGTTTGTTGGGCTTACAAATACCAACATTATCATGTGTCGAAGTTCAGAACTTATCTCTTTTCTCCATCAACTATTTGGGATAAAATCTACCCTTTGTCTCCTTTGATGACTTTAGCTATCAGTGGATCTTGATTTCAGTCCATATATAGCCTCTTTCAATTTTTGAATCTATTCTTGACAGCATGAACTTGGAACTATGTACATTGATGGTGGCTTTAGGGTTCAATGCAGCTGTCAGGTTGGTAGTTTCCTTTGCCTCTTCAAGTATTTAATGTTTTCAATGAATTTTTATTATTATTATTATTATTATTTTATTTATTTTTATTTTTATTTATTTTTCTGTCTTATAAGCTTCAACTGAGAAGAAGAACTCTTGTTAAGCTCTTCCTCCTATATGCAGTGTGAGGGTCTCCAATGAACTCGGAGCTGGTCGCCCAAAGGCTGCGAAATTTTCAGTGATTGTGAATGTAGCTGCATCAGCTATGTTTGGGATCCTTTTCATGGTTATAATTTTTTCTACAAGAAATGACTTCCCCAAGCTTTTCACAACAGATCCCACGGTCATGACAGCGACTTCCAAGCTCGGAACTCTTCTTGCATTCACAATGTTCCTAAACAGCATTCAGCCAGTTCTTTCTGGTAAAAAAAACGTTGGCTACCCTAGTTTCTTTATGTATTTTACTTTTCACACACACACACAGCATGTATAGACTTAAATAGTTCGCATGCATGCATGTGACCTTACATCACATTTTTGTCTGGCTGTTGACTTTCTATTGCTTTTGTTTATAAGTTCGAAAAGGAAATTTCTTGTCACAAAAACTTTCCTTTTCAGTAATTGGGTTTTGGTGTATTATATGACAGTCTCGATTACTATTTTTTCTTTGTTTCTTTTGGAGTAGTTCAATTTATATAGGATCTTATTCTTAAACTTGATTTGGTGTTGTTTGTGATGCAGGTGTCGCAGTTGGTGCGGGTTGGCAAACCCTCATCGCATTTGTTAATGTTGGGTGCTACTACTTGTTTGGGCTGCCCATAGGGGCCGTACTAGGCTATAAGTTTAACCTCGGTGCAAAGGTATGCAATAGCAATATAACACTGATTTGAGTTGTAGGAAAATTTGAAAAATGTATATTGGTTCCTTTGTTTTTTAATTGACATAATTCGAATTCTTCCAACTGATGAACTTTGACTTCTTGTTCCATTCTTATTTTGCAGGGAATTTGGTCAGGAATGTTGCTTGGAGGCCTCTTGCAAACATTGATTCTTATATTCATCACAATTCGAACGAATTGGGAGAAAGAGGTAATGGAATTTCCACACATCATATTCAACGGTCCTTGGAGAAATTGTACTAGTAATTTTTTGAGATTTTAGCCTTCAAGAGTGTAAACCATCCATAATTGGTCTCATTCTTGGTCTTACTTATGTGTTGGATTTGGACGTCTGGGGCATGGCCTTTCCTTATAACTACATGTACTTGGAATTGTTTTGCTTGTTTTCTTGATATAAGAGACTGAATCAAATGTTTGGTTGATTTGTTTCAGGCTTCTCAAGCAGAAGATCGCATCCAAACTTGGGGTGGAATTACAGAGGCCAGAGAAAGCACTGGATGTTAACATTTTTGTTCAATTGTATAGAACCGCCAGTTGAACTTTTAGATCCCACATCCCAGCTACCGCACTTGGCAAATCCAAGCCGAATAACACTACTTGCCTCGATCAAATACTTCCAATATGAACACATATTATAAAAATTATGTTCTCCTTTCAGGAATCCGGCTTGGGCTTGAGTGTTTAGCAGCGCCACATCTCCATCCAGATTCTTGCCATTGAAGTAACCGACAACTCTGTTTTCTGCTTTGTGTATCCTCGGACTGTATTTCTTGCTTTCCAGCTGCAGCTGCACCTCTTACAGGACAATTTTCAAAAAGCATATGCCCTAACATTTTTCCGTTAGTGCTTTTGGTATAAATCGTTGGAACTGAATATTCTCAAAAAAATTTCATCCTTCCAACCCTTCCTACTAATGAAAAAATATTTGGCTTTAATGCGTGCCAGTAAAAAACCGGAGCTTTGCCCTTTGAGAGATATCAAGAAGAGATATTAATGTACGAGTGTTCGAAAACCCGCATCTGCGTCATCTGTAAATTTCAGTCGAATAGAGCCTGAATTTTTAGAAATTCATTTCCTATAATGTAAAATATCAGCAATAGTTGCAAAAATGGGAAAGGGAAAGAATAGAATATGAAAAAAGAAAAAAATTAAACTAGAAAACAAGGAGAAAGTGAAAGACTGTAATTGGAGAGTGAAAAAAAAACAAAAATCAACAAAGAAATTTCTTTAAGTAAAACGCTCAGCAAAACAGTATTTTTCATGCTTTGCTGTGGAATAATCCATGGAAAAGGGATAAAAGATGCCAAAACAAAGAAAATATATGACATATAGGTGTGCTTTTTAAATTTTGAATTAGCAGAACAGTGTATATACAATCGCCCCAAGGATCACTAGCATAGCTATCTAGCCTGTCCTTCTTGGGTTCATTTTCTTTTTCAAGATGATGTCGATCAAATGGACAAACTGCCTTACAAAATCATTAAAGGTGTTAAATTATACCATTTTAAATTTGGATAGTTGCTTTTTAAGTTTCTTCATACTCATGTACCTCTTTAAAAATATATTATGTAATAATAAAATTGCCCATATAGGGGAGTGGGAACCCGAAACAAGCAAGATAAATGATAATTTAGCCCCTTAAGTGATTGACCCAAATAATAATTGTCGTCTCTCTTATGAAAATGTTGAACTACGGCAGAATTGCTTCTTTCGGGATTGGGCAGCCTGAACAAATTGATAATTTAGCCCCCTTAAGTGCCCGAGTCCAATAATGATAGGTTGATAGGGTTTAGCAACATAGAACTATGAAATTACAATGTTACCTAGCTTAGCAACATGGAACAAACACATAACAATGTTTAGTTGGATTACGGGTATTGCATGTAAGAATAAAATATGAAAATGCATGAAAAAATAAAAGTCCCTAGTGACAATATAAAAATTAATCATGAATCTTAATAATTTTAAACATCACACTATACAATATAGATTTATTAAAAAATTCCTAAAAAATACAATGTTGAATATCAACTTTGTGGTAAAGGCAAAAACTATTTTATGACATTCTAAAGTTTATAATAATAATAAAAATTAGTTATGAATAATTATGGATGGATGATGATTCATAAAATTATGTTTAAAATTGTGAAATGCTGATAAATTTTAAAAAATGTCAAAATATTTTTAAATTAAAATTAATTAATTTAAAATGTAAAATTTTCATAAGCATTTTTGAGATGCATCAAAACTCCTAAATAAAATTATGGATTACATGTGTTGCACCTAACAATGAATTTTGAAAAGGGAAAGGTTTTTATGCTTCCCCTACAACATAAAAGTTCTATCGTCCCCCTACCATCCAGCCATTCAATTTTGATCAAGAGAGTCATTCACTGTTTGATCTTAGATCCGACGTCTCAAAGTATTTTATTTTTATTTTTATACAAATTGTATGAATATAAAAGTTGGTACGTGCCATCTTCTCATTGGGGTGCACCTATAAAAAATAGTAAAAATAATTTTTCGATAAAATATAATGACCAAAATACTTTTATTGAAAATATTTTTTTTTATATCTTTCGCTAGTGCAAGTTTAATAGAGGAATGGACTTCCAAAATTTGATGTCAAAATAGTTTATAGAAAAAAAAAATTTAAATAAAATAGTGTAGAGACGTGACATTGTGATTGGGGCAATCTTAGCCCTCTATTTAAAATGGACGGTTGGATAAGGGGGAGGATAGAAGTTCTATGTTGTAGAGGAAACATAGAAAGCTTGATCTTTTGAAAATACATAAAACAAATCTTTTCATAATATAGAAGATAATATTATTTTGCTGCACAACATGTGCAGTGCACTAGTATGATGATCATATTATATCTAGATGACTATAAGCATTTAAAAATGCCACGATATGTATCATTCATGCAATAAGATTGTTTAACTCATATATACCCTAAAATTACCCAAAATAGAATTAATATGACATAAACATAGAAAGTCATGATTTTTGTTACTCCAAAAAAAAATACACTTATTTTAAAGGAAAAAATAGGAAACAAATAAAATATCTAAACCCAATAAGAAATTACTTCATTTCAATGCTCTCAACGATTAGCCTTGACAACTCTTGTGGTTTTGACAACATCTAATATATAATAAAAATAAAAATAAAATTAAAAAATAAATAAAATTAAAAAAAGAGCACAAAAGAGATATGCAGGCAATTGATAAGCATAGCCTCTTAGTACCACACACTATAGAAAATTGATATGCGTACTCTCGGTACTCTCTCTCTCTTACCAGGACATTGAGAACTCTCTCTCTCTTCCCTTATACGAACTCTCTCTCTCTTATCACACAATAATTTTAAGCTATTGCGCACTCTCTCTCTCCCGTCAAATGTAGAATGTCTCCTACAACCTTTATAAAATTAAAATCTTTTTTTATTTTCACGATACGTGTCTATCCATTAACTCTATCTTAATAATATAGTATAGATAAGGATAGTTATTCAAGCTTGCAATAAAAAAAAAATGTTTTAAATAATTCTTTTTTTAAGTTATCTCCTATTTGTTACAAATAGAGTTCGCAATGCACTGGGTGGTAGCTTCTAGAGCCTTAGCCATTGCTCATGATAAAAAATGGTTACGTATTGGCCCCAAAAATGACACATGCACAGGTCCTTATTTGTCTCTTGCGACCTCACCGTTCCTGAGGGCCCATCGAAGGTCGAGAAGGACCCCAAAAATGACACAAGCACAGTTCCTTATTGTCTCTTGCGACCCCACCCTTCCTCTAGACCCATCAAAGGTTGCGACCCCACCTTCCTCTCATGAGTTTGGTGGCGACGATGGGGTTGCGGAAGCGGTCAGAGACAAAAAAGGAGAGTGTGGAGCTGGCGTGCATGGTGGGTGGTGCTGCATGCACCAAAGAGATCCATGGCTCTTGCAATGGTGGGGGTGCCATGTGGTGGTCGTGGTGGCGGTGGTGGGAGCGCCATGTGGTGGTTGTGGTGGCGGTGATGCAAGGGAGGTGGGTAGAGAGAGCATGAGACATAGTGCTTCACCGCAACTATAAAAGCCTCATTGGAAGTTTCGCAAGTAAATCCCGCAAACAGTAGAAATCAGCCCATTCATGCAAGCAGCAAGAAATCAGCCCATTCAACAATAATCTGTAACAACTTGAGCACTAATTACATTAGTACTAATGCATCCATATCCCAACTTAAAAAATATACGTCACCCACAATTCAAAAATATATGTCATTCACCGGCCATGCACACAACATTTGTGTGTTTTCTCTCTCTAAGATTATAATGGCACACAACATTTGTGATGCATGTCAAGCAACATTCACAATTCATGCATCCATATATAACCATGTACAAAACCAGCCCGTTCAACAATAACCTGTCATAGTTTCAACATACATAATTAAAAATGCCCACATCATAGGTGCAATAAGAAAATGAAAATGTTGGTAATTCATGCATTTCTTGTTTGTATAAAAAGATATAAACAAACCCACATCATAGTTGTATATCTTAGAAAAAATATATCAGATTTCATGAACCCATAAGCATTATTCTTAAAAAAAAAAGGTAATAAAATGAGCATGGTAGCTACAACATTCATAATTAGAGCTAAGTAAAACTCAACAAACCCAAAAACAAAAATCACAAAAAGTTTAGCAAGATTATTTTCAATTCCAGTAAAATTCAGCATTTTATTCACAAATAGGAAGTAAGATTAGCCCTATATCACACAGAAAATAGTCAAAAACCCAAAGACAAAAATAACCAAAAATAATAAGAAAATGAAAATGTTGGTAATTCATGCACATATTGTTTGCATAAAAAGATATAAACAAACCCACATCATAGTTGCATATCTTAGAAAAAATATATTCATTAAAAAAAAGAAAAGGTAACAAAAGCATTATTCATTAAAAAAAAGAAAGGTAACAAAAAGAGCATGGTAGCTACAACATTCATAATTGGAGCTAAGTAAAATTCAACAAATCCAACCATAAAAAATAACAAAAAAATAATACTCCTATAGTTATCTACACATGAAAAGAACTCCCACACCATAGGCATTGAGAAACTCTGGTAGTTTTTCAAAAAACGTAAAAAATAGCCACAAGTTGCATTCATTTGCTGCTTTTTCAGTATTTTTATCTCTTTGTTTTTGTTAATACTTTGCTAAAGTCATTGTTGGAATGACTCAAAAAAGCAAATTCCAGAAGTTGAAAAGCAAAAGAACGAAAATGATAAACTCCAACTAGAAAGGATCAAATCAAATAACCATAGATCAGTAACAAAAATATTAAATAAGAACAAATTGAAATAACCAAAACGGCTCAAATAACCAAGAACCGAGAAACACAAACCTCATAGAAGCCAATTAAAAATATATCAGGCTGCCATCTTCCTGAAACCAATTGTATATTCAATCTATTTATTCAAAACATGCGAACTAAAGTCACCGTAAGTAGAATCTTTATTTGGCCACTTTACAAAAAAGAATAAGAAAAAAAAAAGAAAAAAAACGGACAAAAGTGAACACCATGAACCTCTAATTTTAACATGCCAAGAACCTTTAATTTTAATGCACATGCTGCAAATTAACTCAAAATATGCCAAAAAGAAAAACATGAAACGTCTAACTCGAGTAAGATGCAATCTAGTAACAAATTTCACAAGGCCGAATCACTTTGCTTTACCCAATGTTTGAAAATAGGGCTCAGGACGAACTCACCCCTTTGCAGCTCAGAAAAATCTTAATCAAGTCATCAAAGTCTATGCTGAGTAACCCAATGAGCCAAATAAACACGAAAAAAAAATAGGACTCAGATTTTAGTACAAACTGTTTGAATAATCAGTTTGTAACTTAGCTCTATTTTTTTTGTAACTGAGCTCTGATCTATTGGGCTATTGTGAAAAATTTGTAAGATCACCAAATAAACACAAAAAAGAAGGATTCATATTTTATTACAAACTGTTTGAATAATCAGTTTGTAACTGAGCTCTATTTTTTTTGTAACTGATCTCTGATCTATTGGGCTATTGCGAAAAATATGTAAAATCGCCAAATAAACACAAAAAAAAGGACTCCGATCAAACTGTTTGAATAATCAATTTGTAACTGAGCTCCATTTTTTTTGTAACTGAGCTCTGATCTAGTGGGCTGTTGGGAAAAATCTATAAAATCACCAAATAAACACAAAAAAAATGGACTCAAATTTTATTACAAACTGTTTGAATAATCAGTTTGTAACTGAGCTCTATTTTTTTTTTGTAAATGAGCTCTGATCTATTGGATTGTTTCAAAAATCTGTAAAATCGCCAAATAAACACAAAAATAAAGGTCTTAGATTTTATTTATACAAACAATTTGAATAATCAGTTTGTAACTGAGCTCTGATCTAATGGGCTCCTACGAGAAATATATAAAATCGCCAAATAAACACAAAAAAACAGACTCAGATTTTATTACAAACTGTTTGAATAATCAGTTTGTAACTGTGCTCTATTTTTTTTTGTAGCTGAACTCTGATCTATTGGGCTGTTGCGAAAAATCTGTAAAATCGCTAAATAAACACAAAAAAAAAAGGACTCAAAATTTATTACAAACTGTTTGAATAATCAGCTTGTAACTGAGATCTATATTTTTTGTAGCTGAGCTTTGATCTATTGGATTGTTGCAAAAAATCTGTAAAATCATAAATAAAAGGTATGCTATTCACTCTGATTTTATTAAATAAAACACATCAATACTATTCGCTGTGGTTAGGGCAGTCGGGGGCAAATACCTCGAGAAAGATGAAGAACACATATCAGAGCTTCATAGGAAGGATCAGAGCTCAAAGAAGAGATAAAGAGAGAAAGATGAAGAAAATCAGAGTCAATAGCATACCTCAAGATCAATAACACAGAGAGAATAAGAGCTCTTTGCTTCAAGAGCTCAAGAACAAACACACATATCAATAACACAGAGAGAATAAGAGCTCTTTGCTTCAAACACAGAGATTAATAACACAGAGAGAATAAGAGTCAATAGCATACCTCAAGATCAATAGCAAGGATCAGAGCTCAAGAACAGCTGAGTAAATAGCGAGGGCTGCATGTGAAGAGAGGAGTCTGCCTGAGATAGTGGCATGTTGCGAAGAGAGGGATAGCTCAGCAGCTGAACGGGAAGAAGAGAAGAGAGGGAACGAAGAAAAGAGGAGAAGAAGAAGAACTAGGTTTGGGGGTGAAGTTCTAAAACGAAGTTCCAATTTTAAGTTCCGACCTTTTTGGTCAGAACTTGTTTTACACCCGAGGAAGATGAACAGTACTGAGAAGTTCCCGTTTGAACTTCCATTTTTTCCATTTTTTTATCAAAAAAACAAGAGCAGTATCAATAAGTTCCCATGAAGATACTTTCTGGTATCAAACACGTCCTAAATGTAGGAATGTCTCCTACAACCACTATAAAATTAGGATCTCTTTTTATTTTTACAACACGTATCCACTTGTTAACTCTAGCTTAATAATGTAGTATAGATAAACATAGTTATTGAAGCCAAAAAATAAAAAAAAATATGTTTTAAATTATTCTTTTTTTTAGGTTATCTCCTATTTGTTCCAAATAGGGCCAGCAATGCGTAGGGTGCCAGCCCGGCCCTAAAAAAAATAGGGTCTGAGCTACAAATGTGGCCTAAGATCTGGGCTAGGCCCAAAGCCGGTCATGTTCAGCCTGTCCAGGCCCTCTTTTTTTGTGTTTTTTCTACTATTATTTCTTTATTTATTCTTGGCCTAGCCTGACTCCAATAGGGCCAGGGCCAGGCTTGGGCCAACCTAAAGGACAAGGGCTCCAATGCTTATTGTCTGTTACATTTCCTTATTGTCTCTTACGATCCCACCCTAACCCCTCCTCTAGACCCATCAATGTTTAGCTTAATGTAACCAGACTCGGGGATAATCAAATAGCTTATCTTGAAGTGGGGTGCCTTATCAATCTAGCTAGTGTGCCCTAGTTTGGTATGAAATCATGTCACATTCCCCTTGAGCACATCCGTTCTGCTACAACGGATTCGATGTCATCTATGATTGCTTCTATGGATCTTTTTTTGTCTTCTATGAGTATTTTTAGTTTGGTAAAAATACTTGTGTGTATTTCAAAATAATGCCGTAGTTTTGTATAATTTTTTTATATTTTATTTTGTAGAGAGAAAAAAGATGCGAGTTTTTAGCTTCAGATTTAATAAAAGAGTGTAGATTAAGTGGTATTTAACTGTGGGCACTCTCATCTATTGCACTTTTGGAACATATTATGTAATTTTTCCCTTGAGTAAGAGCTACTTTCAAGAATTCTTTTAAATTGATATTTTGGGATCTAATTTAAAATCACCAACAACCAAAAATAATATTTTGGGGAAACCAAATTTGGATTTTGAGGTCCTACACATTTTGATTTGTCTTAGGATGTTTCTTTTTAGGTTATTAATGCTTTTGTTTTTTTACATTTATTTTTTTAACATTGGACGATAGGTTTAGGAGGCAACATCTCCAAAATTTGGAGTCCTAAAACACTCATGAATAGGATTTTCCCTCTAAGAAAAACCACTTTAGAATCATTGTATAAATATTTAAAAAAAATTCAAAATTGGATTATACATATCTAAACAAAATCCACTTGAGAATCATTGTATAAATATTTTTAAAAATACAAAATTGGATTATGCGTATCTAAACACTTGATTTTATCATTCGAATATAAGAAAATCTTTATTCAATGGTGGGATGTCTATAGAGTGGTATGTTTTTCGAAAGTATTGTTTAAGGGGTTCAAATTTTTATAAGCTCATTAAAGTGGTTAAATGATCCCAATTAATATTTAACGAGTTGTTTTTTTATTTCCATTTCACTTAGATACCTCCACAAAAAAAAAAACTTAAAAATTTCTAAATTGCTCTTATTATAATTGAGAAGCTTGAATAATCAATGACCTTTTAGTAATTTGACCCCCTAAAAAGCCTCAATTCAATGGTCAAAATACCCCTACTTATTCCGTGCTATAAATAAAGAACCAAGCAATAAAACCAAAGATAGATAAAGAGCAAATAAGCTTTATATATATATATATATATATATATATATATAAGTTCAATAATTTTATTGATCAAATACCAAAAAGAGATTATAGAATCTGAGACTTTGGTCTCAGATAAGGCAGAGCCACCTTTAGAAAGATTGTCGGCCACAATATTGGCCACATGAAAGACATGAACAAAATAAAACGTGGAAGATCAAGACAAGTCCCATATATGCAGCCACAATATTGGCCACATGAAGGACATGAACAAAATAAAACGTGGAAGATCAAGACAAGTCCCATATATGCAGCCCCAATATTGGCCCCATGAAAGACATGAACAAAATAAAACGTGGAAGATCAAGACAAGTCCCATATATGCAGCAGGATAGAGCGATATTCCCATGGCGATTTAAGGGTCCCATTATACCAGTTAATAACATTCGCCGAATCCCCTTCCACAAAGAATACTACGGCTCCGTTCCAATCTCTTACAACACCTCCAAATCCAGCAGGGCTCGAGTTACCAAACGAACTACCATCAAAATTGAGTTTGAAAACCCCTTCCAAAGGTGGCACCCATCGAGCTTTCGGCCAATTGTTTACTACACCTAGATGAAAGAGATTCGTTAAGTTTCTCTTAATATCCACTTCCAAAAAATCTTTCCCAACTTTAGTAACTGACCATCATGCAATATTTTATTTAAAGGGCCATGGAAGTATGGCATATTTATTGTTTGGGTTACACTTTAATGGTAAAGAAATGGAAAAAAATTACCAGAGATTTCTCCAAAAACGATAAAATCTATTATGCAGTGTAAAGAGTGAAAAATCTATTAAGCACTTGATGGGTAATCAGGGAAATCTTTTCAGCTCCTCTTTATTTTAGCTACCCAAAAATCCGGTGATTCACTCCCTAATAAAGCACAATAAAAAGTTGTAGCCCTATCTTCTGCAACCAATAGCTCATTTACCTCAAAAATCACACAACAGCTTCATCTTCTTCAAATAGCAGCTAAAAACTGCATCTTTCTTCAACTAGCTGCTAAAACCCATAGTAGCCCTATCTTCTGTAACCAATAGCTCCCTTACCTCAAAAATCATACAGCTCCATTTTCTTCAACTACCTCACAAATCACACAGCAGCTCCATCTTCTTTCACGATCAGTTAAAACTTGAAAAATCAAGTAGTAGCCCCATCTTCTTCAAATAGCAGCTAAAATTTGAAAAATCAAGTAGAAGCCCCATCTTCTTCAACTAACAGCTAAAACTTGAAAAATCACATAGTAGCCCCATCTTCTTCAACTAACAGGTAAAACTTGAAAAATCACATAGTAGCCCCATCTTCTTCCACGAACAGCTAAACTCGGCAGCCCAGCAGCTCCATCTTCATCGAGCAGCTAAACCCAAAAAATCAACTAGCAGCTAAACCCGAAACATCACATGTCCTATCTTCTTCAACTAGCAGCTAACCCGACAGCCCCAACCCCATCTTTTGCGACTACAGTGATAGTTATTGTTTATTTATAGATATCCAAGATTTATTTTTTAGGTTATGCACTATTGATTATTTTCAGATATCCAAGATTTATTTTTTGGGTTATGCACCACAGTTAGTTATAGTTTATTTGCAGATATCCAAGATTTATTTTTTGGGTTATGCACCACTGTTGTAGTTATTGTTTATTTCCAAATATCCAAGCTTTATTTTTTAGGTTATGCACCATGGTTGTAGTTTTTGTTTATTTCCAGACATCCAAGATTTATTTTTTGGGTAATGCAATTGTAGCTATTGTTCCAAAAAAATAAATGGATTCGGGTTATCTGCTAAAATCAGTATGTTTATTTTATTTTTGTTTTATTTTTTCTTTTTTGCTATTATTGTTTGGATTTGGGTTCTCTGCGAAAATCAATCTTGATAAATTCGAAATATTTGAGTTCACTCACAGAGAATCGTTAAATCAGTGTACTTGAATTTTAATTTTTTTTAAAAAAATTATTTTACCTCTTCAATCTCCTCCAATGCTCCAGCATAATTTATCCTCCAACACATCATTTAGTCATAAAGCCTTATAGGTTACTAGCCAAATTTCTCCGAAATTTTTTTTTTTCCTTTTGAATTTTCCTATAGAAGTTTTCTAGAAAGAGATGATCGAAAGGCTTTAGCACAAGAAAAGAAATCATAAAAAATATGATTGCTTATCATAATAAAAGTATATTATTCCAAAGTGTTAACATCTTGAAAACATGTGATTCCAAGTTAAGACGCAAAGGCATTAAAAAAGTGTGGCTAATTCTTATGCCTGATGCAATTATAAAGTTTAAGCTACATACTAATAGGGATGGTACGCTCAACCATGTTTTGGGTATGAAGCCAAAAAAGAAAAAAAAAAAAAAAATGTTGGTAATGTGTTTTCCATATTTCTTCTGGACATAGCCCAATAGTAACAATGTATTTCTCATGTTGCATCTAAATATTACCCGAACAGTGACAATCCATTTGTAGGTAATGTATTTCGCCAGTAATATATTTCACAGACAATATATTTCCAGATATCCAAATGGCCCTTAAAATTCCCTCAACAGGGAGGCCAATACCATACAAAATTCTTCGATTCCTTTTCTTCCAAACTTCCTATAAAATCATGCCCCTAGCAATCTGCCAAATAACCACTCCAGTTCTAGGTAACCAACTTACATACAAGTTTGAAATTACCCCAATCACATTAGCAGGCATAATTGCCAATTTCTTAAGATAAAAGACAATGCAGAAACAAATGAGACATAGTTTCCATTATTACACAATAAGCAAATATTCAGCAGTATTTTACCCCTTTTGATAAGATTATCCGCAGTGAGGATTTTTTCTTGCACAACCACATATAGCAAATAAGCTTTTATATACCATACCAATGCACGGCGAGCACATGCAAAAGGTTTTGGCTAAAGATATTCCACCAAATATACAAATGAAACCTAATTATACATGTCTTCCATTTATATCATCTAATTTCTAAATAATTCACACAAGCAATTCATCACTCTTCAATAGGCGATTTTAGCAAATAATCAAATATAACACTTATGGCTAAGTGTCAACTTGATTATTTTTCTTACCTCTTCGCCACAGGGAACCCGTTATATAAATGCTCCTTAAGCACTACGAGAAAAGCGCGTTAGCCTAATAAGACAATTTCCAAGAAAATGTTTATTTCTTTTTCCCCGGCCGCCAATATTAAAAAAATATTGGGACATTTCACTTCCCACGATGTTGGTAAGTTGATCATTTTCTATATGTTGAAATAGTTGATTCCATCATTGAAAGTTTGAAATAAAAGTAACAAAGAGTGTTTAAAACCTGAATAATCTTTTTCTTCTTTAAGTGATTTCAACTCCCAATCTTATGGATAAGTCTTACTGAAGAATAATTTGGAGAACTTTTTTAGTCAAATAATAAAAATTGCCTAGAGCATTGAATTGTTTGTTCTTTATTTACAACTTTAAACAAACAATAATATTTTCCTCATTTAGTTAGAGCCTCTTAAGTGTCAGAAGATTATGAATGTCTACAAAAGCAACTTTGAATTTTTAAGAGTTTTTTGAGGAGTTATCTAAGTGAAATAAAAAGGAGAAAGCAACTGCTCAATTGTTAATTGGGTTCATTTGACCCTTTTGATGTTTTACAAGCTTAAATGATATTTTCTCTTCTTTTTTTATTTATTTTTATTTTTTTATTTTTATAGTTGGTCAATACAATCTCCCCTAAAATTTGTGGTCAAGGTTTTAGCCGAGGGAGCAAATATATAATATGTACTCCACAGGAACATCTATGGCCTATTTGGGTTTTATCTAAAATTAATATACTTTGAATAATATTATTTTGTTAGCTTTTTTATACAAAACTTGAATTAGTAATTTCCAACTATTTTTAGCCAACAATATATGGTGTTTAGCAGATTACATTGGATAATGTAAAAAATATATTTTAAAATATAGACTCATATATTAAACTGCCTACAACTTTATCTCAAATAACTTTACAAGGGATATAGCCAAACAATACAATTTGTTAATCACTATCAACTTATCCCGACTAACTCTATTGAACCCAAACAAGTAGTCTCTTGGCCTTAAGTTTTGCCGAGTATTACTGATCCGGATTGAAATCATCCAATTCAAATCCATTTTCAAGAGGACAAGTCTAGTTCACACTATGTCAAGAACCGGTTGGTTCTTAAAAGAGCAAGTCGGTTCACTATGGAATTGCTACGGTTCCCAAAAAAAATCGAGTTCATTTTTAAAAATTTTATTTTTCAAAATTTTAAGTCTTTATTTATCTCCGGGCTGACCCACCTCATGGTTAAGAGGCCAACATTGCTTTGCCTCACATGTGTGGCTTGCCTACCCTGACTATATTTAGGAACCAACCATGCTTGGTGAACCTTCCCTTAATAGCACTATGGCTCAAAGAATCAGTCCCACCTCCCCTCCCTGATGTGAGACTAATTATTCTCTTTTTCATTGTTCATTTACCATATTTTTTACCAATGAAAATCTCACTCTTGATATGCAACTAACACATCCTTGGGGAGAGGTTTAATTGCCGGATCCAATTTTTTAAGGAGGACGTTATTTGAATGGGAATTTTATAATTTGAAAATCTTAAAATATTCAATAGTTAGACATTTAAACAGCAAACATATCAAAATTCAAAATGATAAAATATTCAATAGATAATGAAAATTCATAATGAATTACCATCTTTGTCTAATTAAAATCCAAGAATACCATTAATAACATTTTTTAGTGGCTTTTAATTTTTTATTTTTATTTTAAAGATCATATCCGGTGGATCCATTGGTCCGGATTGCTTATCTACAATCCGGATCACTTTTCTATATAGTCGATCCCTGTCGCTGATCCGCATTTTCGGATATTGGTTTTGCTTGTACTTTGGATGGACTTCAAAACACGAATAGATTTCTGACTTAGGAGTGGCAACGAGTTAGGACTCGAACCCAGTTCCCAAAAAAAACATTATGCGATCTGGACCCTACCAAACCCTGACCTGGACTCAAACTTGATTGGATCCGATCTAAAAAATATATATATTTAAATATATTTAAATATTATATGTGTTATTATTTAAATATTATAACTAAACTATATAATTATATTGACACAGTTTCTATGAGTCCATGTAGAAATGGGTCTCCTCTTAAAAATCTACTTTTGAGGTGGATTTTTGGATCTAATTTTTAATGACATATATTCTCTAACATGGAGAATCATGAATATAAAAAAATAAATAGATTTTAAAAATTAAAAATACTAATTTTATGAATAAAAATTTGGAATGTTAGATTCAATTGTTTTTAGATAGACCACCTATTTGCATCCAAACAATTTTTCATATTTAAAATTATTTAAATTATATATTACATATTAGTTAAATATTAACTGTCTTCACTATTTTTAGATGGATCACCTATTTGCATCCAAACAAATTTTCATACTTTAGAATTATTTAAATATGGAAAATAGTTTTATGTGGGCTAGACCGCATTTTTACATATATGGTCTAGAAAGTGTAAAGCACCCATCTTAAAGATGGATGCAAGTAGGTGTTCCATCTAAAAACAATGAAAACTAACGATCCAAGTGTTTTCTTACTAGAATTATTATCTTTAGTTTTTAAAATTTATTTATTTATTTATATTCATGATGTCCATGTTAGAGATTACATATCCTTAAAAATTAAGACTTAAAATCCATCTAACAAATAAATTTGTTAAGAGGCCCGTATTTCTACATATGCAGGGTTGGTGGTATAAAAACCAGGTTTAAATATTATATATTAAATATGGAAAAAGTTTATATAAAGTTGCAACCTTAAAATATAGAAATAGATGCACCTCAAAAATATTTCGAAAAAGGTTGTTTTAAAGTTAAAAAACTTTCTAATTTATCATCTCGACATGGAGAAAATTTATGAATATGAAAAAAAAGAAGATTTTGAGTCGAGAAATAGGGCATCTTGCAACACATTATCTAGACTGTCCATTTTCAAGATTTTGATATATTTGTAGATCTACTTGGTTTTAACTATTTTTGAAGTACAAAATTTTATAATTAGATATAAAAATAGATTTTCAGATAATCCTAAAAACTTTTAACATCAAAATTACATGTTATGATAAAATTTGAAGGTGCGCCTTAATTGGATTGTTTAAAGTTGCAACCTTATAGAAACCACACCCATTAAATATTGGAAAAATTTTATATACTGTTGCAATCTTAAAAATGTAGAATTACGGATGCACCTCAAAAATCCATCGAAAAAGGTTGTTTTAATGTTGAAAAACCTCTGATTGATCATCTCGACATCGAGACGTATGACTATGAAAAATAAATGGATTTTGAGTCTAAAAAATGGTGCATCTTACAACATATTATATAGACAGTCCATTTTCAATATTTTCATATGTTTATAGGTCGAATTGATTTTAACTATTTTTGAAGTTTAAAATTTTATAATTGGATATAATAATAAATTTTGAGATAATTCTAAAAATATCTTACATCAAAATTATATGCTATGATAAAATTTGAAAGTGCTCCTTAATTGGATTGCTTAAGGTTGCAAGGAAACCACACCCTTAAATATTAGGTACATATTATAGTGTCCAGGTCTAAGTTTGAACCCGGCCCCGAACGAGGACCCGACCCGCCGGTTACAGGTCCATTGCCACCCCCACTGGTGTCCCGGGGTCTCACTGCCAGAGAGCTATATCTGTTACCTGCCGTTGCTGCTGACCTAGCACAGAGAGAGCGCTTTGCATTTGATTTTCCAGAGGGAGAGCTTTCTATTTTCCATTGTAGCAGGCAGAGAGAAAGATTCTGGGATTAGCAGAGAGAGGTGGGGCTTTTATCGCTCAAAGAAGGCAACATCGAGGACCAGCCGAGTGAGTTGAATTTCGGTTTTTATTAAGGTAAATTTTATCGTCATTAATGAATTCTTTTACTAATTTATGATCATCAATCTGTAGAACTTGTTTATTGGTGGGCTATTTTGCTTTTTTCCCATGGATGATTAATTCTGCATATATATATATATATTTGGAGATTTATTGGTTATGTATTTAAGTTTTTTTATTTTTGCTATTTTATCTCCAGGCGTGTGGAAGAGAATGGCTTTAATCATTATGAACTCTAGATAGACGTAAATATTGACGTTTTTCTCACTCTATTTCCTATGGTTTCAATTTTCTGTATCTTCAGTTGATTTGGGGCTTTAAGGTTCGGCATTTTTGGATTAGCTTTCAATGAAAAGTTAGGGTAAGGGCGTCTTAGTCCTTTCCATCACATTGAGAGTTCTGTCGATGGGCTTTCTCAAATTTTAGCTCCATGAAATAACCAACCAAATGCCTTGATTATTTCTTCCTGTCAATTGCTTTGCCCTCAGAAATCTGTACATTACCCACATTTGCCTTGCTATTGATCTTCCTCTTGCTGGAAGCACATGCTTGCTTTTGACAGTGAATTGCAATTCATTATGTATTGCTTTGTAAGAATTGTTTGCTTTTGTATAGAGTGCGGCACCATAGAATGATACTAGCCATTTCTACTGGCTCTTACTTTGTAAAAGCAGTGTTATGTTAGGAGGATAGCAGTTCACCCCCTGACTTCTTGCCTTGACCCCCTTCTCCCTGGGGATTTCATGTTTCTACTGCCAGGGACCATGGCAATCTCCCTAGCATGCCTTGGTTCGTTCTTCTCTTTTGCATGCCCTCTTGAGTTCTTTGATGTTTCTATTGGCCAGTGCTATGCTCCCTGGCACATTTTTTAGTAGGTGGTCTCCCTGACATTCTTCCACTCATTGGTACTTTTCCCTTGCCTCCTCAACTGGCTACTTCATTGGAGAGGTCCACTCCCATGTGTTCAGGATTAGATCCGTTATTTGTTCACTATCATGGATGTGATCAAAATGTTCAGATCCCAGATATATTTTGATTTTGAAATTTAGTGAACAGTGCCTTACGAGAATAATAATATTTCTAGGCACAAGTGTGCTCACCAGTGTTTCAAAAATCTGCTGCCTCGGTGTCTCGGCAGCCAAGGCCCCTAGGTGCATTTCCTAGGGCCTGGCAGGCTCTTAGGTCAGAGCAGTCTCTTGGTGTCCATCTCAGTTGCTATATGCACTGCCTATATATATATTTTATGTATAGGATGAGCGTAGTTGAGATGAAGATATTGTGATTGATGAGTGGCAAGACAAGAAAGGATTGAATTCAGAATGACTACATCCAAGGGAACTTAGCGGTAGTCCTATAGGTGATAAGATAAAGTAGTTTAGGTGGGCTGACCATGTGCGGTGCAGACCCCTAATACAACACGGGTTAGGAGGGGTTAATTCAAGTGAAAGGCTCTAAAATGGCAAGGGGAAGGCCCAAAAGGATATGGATAGAATTAGTGAGAAGAAATATGGTGACTTATGGTCTGATTGAGGATATGGCCCTTGATGGAGCAGATGATTCCATAGCTGACCCCAAATAGTTGGGATAAGGCTTGGATGATGATGGTGGTGATTTACATATACACCTTGCCCTTGCTATGTCGCCTTGGGAAACCTCTATGTCCACCTGTTTGTCTTCTTAGACATTGTTGCTTACTGCAAGTGCCCATGGGTAGCTCCTGCCTTTAACAACCTTCCTTGGAACCATATATGAGGTCCAACTATTAAAAGAGTTCAGATTGTATTCATCCATCTAAATGTGATGAAGTAAATATATTATTATTTAAATGTAATTGCTGAAAATGTAACTTAGGATCTTTGTCTTGATAGTACATTTGTATTCTTTTCATGTCTTGATATATATTTCTGGGAATTTATTTATTTCTCTTGGGTGTGGGTGAATCCTATTTTTTTTTTCTGCAGTTATTCTTGGGTTTAGTGGCTGCTGTCAAGATGTCGAGAAAAGGGTTAATGGAACAGGACCTAAGTAAGCTTGATGTGACAAAATTACATCCTCTCTCGCCTGAAGTCATATCCCGTCAAGCTACGATTAATATTGGTAAATTTCTCTTTACTTTTTCTATATTAGCAGGACTGCGGTTTTTATCTAGTTTTTACGTTTAGACAATCTATTAGCGCTTACAATAATTCTAAAAAGATTCGATTGATATTTATGCAGTCCTTCTTCATGTCTCTTATACTTTATTTGAGGAAGAGCACACACCATAGTTGTAGTCTGTTTACTTGTATCATGGAAATAATTATCATGAATGTTGGAGTTGGTTAATTAAACATTTTTGCGACAATGACTTGCATTTACTATAACACGCACTTACAATTCATGGTTTGGTTTTGTTGTCTTTTTTATAATTTTGGGGTTTCATAAAGAACATGGTTGTGGCACGTAGTGTTTGAAAAGGAATATAGATTGGGCATTGCCTGTGGATGATACTTTACAAATGACCAAAAGATGAATAAAAATGCAATTCTTTGAAAATTTTATCCATAAAAAGATATGATGAGCATTAGAGTGGCTTACGACAATCAAACAACTTTTTTTTTTATTTTTTTTACGCAAAGACTAAAATATGAAAAATGATCATTTCATAATTACTAATGATTGTTAGCTTTACTTGAAGTTATAGGGACTTGTACCCACCTTCGCAACACACATATTGTTATTGGTTGCTGTATGTTTCTTAAGTTTGCTTATTCGATTGGCTAGTTTTTTGTGTTCAGTGAACAAACAATTTAACGTTAAAACCTAGTTTTGTGTGTTCAGTTCTTTTGCTTATTTTGAGATGAAGCATGTGAAATATTCTATGTGTAATTCTAGAGTTGATCCCGGCCATTCATCATTTTAGGCAGCATTTGAAAACTTGTCCTAGTCCAAGACAGACTTGGGTGAGATACTGGGCTTGGAAGCCAGTTGAGCCTGGAACAGGATACATCTACCCTGTACTGTTCTTCCCTGAGTACTGTTAAACAAGCAATTTTAAAGGGCGTGGAAATCCGCCTCCCTTTTTCTTCATTTTTTCTATTGAAGTCTACATTCTTGCAAAGAGAGAGACAGAGAACAAGAGTGAGACTCATTTACAAAGCGTGTGCGGTTCATTGATGTTCACATTTTTTTTTTCTTTTCGCTTTTTCGTGTGTGTGTGTGTGGGGTGCACACGTATGAGAGAGAGAGAGAGAGAGAGAGAGAGAGAGAGAGAGAGAGAGAGAGAGAGAGAGAGAGAGAGAGAGAGAGTAGAGTAGAGTAGACGACGTACGACGTACGTACGTACGTACGTACGTACGTACGTACCGTACGTACCGTACGACCGTACCGTACCGTACCGTAC